GCAAAAAAGTTATTGTTGTCATTATATTTGTGTACAAGTAATGTAACAGTTTATGTATTAGGAAAAAGTAAATTCGTTTTTATTTGCCTTTTAGTTTCATCAGCTACATTTGATCTTTTTCGCATAGGGATACAGAGATTTATCTAATATTAATTAAAAACAGTTTGTTTTTAGTAATAAAAAAGCCATGCAATATTAAATAAATAAAATGTCTCATTATTTATATAAGTTTTTTATATTAAACATATATTAGTCAACTGCATACTAACCATTTTACATACATTTACCTACATATGATTTAATTGGAAATTTCTGGAATAACTGACGACTCTCGATACGTACGATACACACAATTTTCGACCCGCAATTCGGAACTTCACGTCTCCTCTAGTAACGAATAGTTACATTGAATTTTGATTCATTTTAAATTCTCATTATTGTATAGAATTAGAATGTAGACAGAAGGAAAATCACGAGTAAGTATTCTTAAGATTACCAAATGCCCTGAGTTGTGCGCGTTCAGCGGACAGACCAACATTAATCGAGAGATTAACATTAGTGCTGCTGTAATAGCACGGTTAATTAAAAAATAAGTACAAACACTTTTACTCACTGAAATCGCAATTTCCGCCCCAGCATTTATCTCAATACTTCTTTTGAAACAACTCCTGAGCACGGTCGTTACACATTAAATTGCAATAAGAACTTTAGACAATGTTTGAATTTCTTCGATTTCTTTCCATTTCGTCAGATTTATCATAACATTCGCTTTCATGATATTCCGACAGGAAAATGTTCAATTCGAAACGCATCAGAACACGTTAATCGTAAATTTTCATAACAATTATGATTCGCCGGATTCAGCTGAACGGGGTAACGTCCATATTGTTTCTTGTTCGAATTGTTATAATTATGTTTGTGTATTGGAAATCATATTAAGTTGGTTCATTTGTAGGGAGTGCATTAAATACACTTTCAGGCCCAGCTGCAAATGTTCAAATTAGTTTACGCGTTGGCGATTGGTAAAATTGGTTGGTAATTTATATATTATTCCTTTTGAAAATTCGATTTCGTATCTTTCAGTCAATCAGTCTGATAATTTACCAGCTGTAGATTATACAGGGTTGCTCATTAGTGCGTCAAAGTGCGATATCTCAGTAAATATGAACTTTACAAGAAAATACGTCCTACGAAAGTTTTTCATGTTTAAAAGGTCCACATTTTAAAATTACTTTCCAATAACGGGGTGTATCATAAACGTGTGGTAGTTACCAACTTTGGTTTTTTAAATGGAACCGCCCCTTTTTTCATTCATTTTCAGATTTGTCGTCAAAATTTAAGTTAAGTTTGTGTCAAACGTTTTACCTGAAAAATTTACGATTTCCGAGTTATTCGTAAAAATGTGAAAGTTTTGACAGCTACTGGGTTCCACAGAAATCGATGCTGTACACTAC